TGGTTCTAAAGCCACTTTCCTTGCAATTGATCCTACAACAACAACAACAACAGCAACCACTCAATCAGGTACAAAGGCAGTCGCGTATGAGAGCTACATCAGCGTGTTGAGGCGCGCTGCAATGAACCGGAATAGAAAATTGTGAACTTCAACATCTCCGACGGTTTTTTTGATTGCCCACAGATTTTCGTCAACAGGTACATGCGTAAACGTCATAAGAAACTAAATCATTTCTACCCCAAATGTTAGAGAGTGCTTCCGCACGGCAAGCACATCCCCTAGGCTTTCCACCCTTTTCACCACTTGGACTTCATGTCACACACAGCCCAGAGACAACAATTAGGCGCCAGCTAGTGAAATAAGGAAACCTGCTGTCACGGCAAAGAACACTTAGCCGTGTTTGGGGCGGCTGCAGATATAACAACTACTTGCAAGACTGTGTTGGACGCGAATTGCAGAGCACGCGACAGCATTCGCGAAAAATGACGCCGATTTCGAAGTCGCTGCTCATTCGACGAGATCCGGCCACACGTTCAAGTTCTACGAGGCCGATGTTCTCGCGAGTTTCTTTTCTCAAGGTCCACGAGTCGCCAATCTATTTACAAGCGCGATGACCTGCCTACTCCATATTTGATACTGAGGTGTAGTTTGGTGGAAGCTACAAGCCACTCGAGGAGCGCACAGGCGAACGTGTCTGCTAACGCCAATCCCGTTAAGCTAGATTGCATAGCAATCCTCCCGCCAACATCCATTGCATCTGATAAACTTGTAGAAACTAAGCGTACGAAAACGGTTGCTGAAGAACTTTGTGGTGGTTCTCCCTGTTACGAGGATGTTTCTACACCAACTCCAGGACCCCCTACTGACTACTGACAATGGGACCGCCCCTTTGTGCCATACCGATAAAACGTCTTCCCCAAAAAAAACTTTCTCACTCTGGGAGTTGAACTATCGAAAAGCTGGGTTCTGACCGCTTCGTTTGACTTAAGATGCAGAAGCAGCTAAAATTTCGGACTCCGGCATGTCTCAGCTGTCAGTGGAGCAAGCCTCAACGACACCAAAAAACCTATGTCGGCACCTTCCCCAGCCCCAAAAAACAAGTTCACCCGGGCATTAAACGTTCCTTGCTCTTGTCCAACGACTGGTCCTATCTGCCGACTTGTGTGGATCGTTCTGTTCGGTGGCCGGAAGATGTCACTGTCCCCGACATTGGTGCTTCACTCTCAAGTCGGATTGTATCTGTTCCGCCACTGAACACTGTCCGACTGCCCGGTGAGACGATATCGCCAACCCCTCCAGTTGCGGTCTACGATCCTATTAACCATCTTCACCGTATTCGACAGTTCATGTGGACGCTCTCCACGGTTCCGTCCAGGCCCTCAATCTCCGAGTCCTATCTTGAGGAAGACGGGCAGCATTCTCTTACGTCTATATCGATTTAATTAAGTCCACCCACCATTGGAATTACCGTACGACGCCCCTTCCGAGGAACGAAGATGTTCTGTATTCAACGCGAAACTTAGGAGTGTAAAGCACCTCAAACTTGTTGCTCAGGACACTCCGCTGGAAGAGCCCCGTGGTCCCCCACCCTCTATCCCTCCCCTCCTTTTGCTCCAAACTCGCGCTCCCAACTGCAACTTCTTCCACGTCAACCATCAAGTCGCAAGACACTATTCATATACCGCCCGAAGTGAACGTAATGCTCATTTACCGCATTTGCTTAAAATGTCAATTATTCCTTCGGCGCCGCTAGGGGTACTGTGGCAATCTGTTTTCTGGCTCCTTGTGGGGGCAGTCCACTTACTTTGTCGTCAGATTGAATGCTTTTTCATGCCTTGCGCTCTTTGGCGTTTCGTTGCTGAAGCCGCCCGCGTCTGTGCACTAGCCTCGCAATAGCTTAAAGCAAATTAAATTGGGCCACCGCGCTAAGTGGCTACGGGCGACAGAGGACACGCCCCGAGGTCCAGTGATCTCATGAGTTGTTACTGACTTGAACGAGTCTGAAGAGACAGCTAGCGGCCACAGCTTTCAGGGCCTCTTTACGCGCTTTTTTACAGTAAAACGTATCTGTCGTCCATGCCTGGGGTAGCACTGTCTCACTTGGAACATTTATGCCATTTCTGGCCGGGATTATTGGCGTACTGGTTTAAAGGCCTGGGGACAGTTGGAAAGTCACTTCAGTTGGCGTCAACGTTGTCATTTTCGGAGGGAAGACCTCAAACGCAAGTATGCTTTTTACACCCTGGAATTGCGCCAGCAGTACCACATATCTCAGTTTTAAGTAAGATAAGGGTTTCACAGTCTTAATAGTTTACAAGATGAACTAAACAACAGACTGGAATCTTTATTCCTGCCAACCAAGTTTACTTAGGTTTGTACTTTCTAATGGACAACATGAGTAAATACTGTTAACAAGGAAAGCTGTATTCCGCAACACAATTTTGTTATTTTTAGAACAGAAATTTTCACCAATAGAGAACTTAAATCCTATTTTCGAAGAAGACAAACGAATTTGAGTGTATTACTCAGTTAAATAAATTACGTTTGGAGGTCAGTCCTCTAAACACAGTAATTATCGGTGAAGATAGTGAACATCTAGATAAGAAAAAGAAGCGCTGATCTTTTTTAAAAAATTAATAAGACAAAGTTGAGGATGGACACAAGTACACAGAGACAAATCAAACAGCTTTTGGCTATAAACGTACAGTGGACTCAATGTGTCGCAGAGAATATACAGCAACGTCGATCCAGATGATGTTTAAAAATCCAGACAAATGAAATACTCTTTTTTCATTAAAATGCATATCTTTTGTTCCAGAAAGTTGAGCCGCTTAGGTGTAGCCGTTTAGCTGAAATCAGAGTTTTTTTTGGGGGGGGGCGGGGCAAAGTGAAATTGGAAGCGCATTTCTTTGAGATTTCTCTGAGAAGCTCGGATGGTATCTCGTCCGTTCCAGGAGACTTGGTTCATTCTTGTACACTAACTGGAAAGAGTGTGAACTGCTCGGCAACTGAAGATGCACAACATTTTAACTTCTGTAGACAGATTGGCCTTCGAGTATTTGTCATCCAAGACTCGGGCTTTCGAAGATTTTCAAGTGTTCAAACTGCTGTCATCTTTTACGCTCTCCAACAAGATAAAATCACGTTGTAGATTTGATCCATAATTTTCGTTTCTCCCAAACAAGACCCTTTGGGTAACGACCATGTATTAATTCACTGTGGCCTATCGGTGTCTTTTCCGAAAAGTCAAACACACTTCGCAGATAAGCTCATAATTAAAATCGATCATAATTGTATTTGCATAGCTGTCTCGCATATAATGACACATAAAGGTCAAGGGCTGTTCCTTTTAGTATAAAAATAAGTTAACAAGAATACATAAAACGATTTTTCCAAGGGACCAAAATTATTTTTCGCTATTGCTTTACTGAATAATTTATCCGTAAGCACGGACCTATTCACTTAGCACTATATGTTGTCATTTCAATTGCGTTTTGTAAATTTTCGCCTTCTGATTACCCATCACATTCTGAACTTCGAATCTTTTTGCATTCTTACACCGTTTCATTTTGACTGAAATTTAGTCACTGTCTGCTTGACTGTCGTGAAAAATCCGTAGTCTAATTTGGTCGACAGTTTATCAGATGGCAATGCTTAACAAAATATGAGAACGAAAATTGCAGCTCATCGTAGGATATCTGCCCCCAGACGCAAGCGGTGCTTGACCACACCTAGTATTCAGAGCCTGGATGTTAACATGCAGCCCATAGTCAAGGCTAAGCAACTTGATTCATCTGCATTACAGAACTGTCATGACTTCATGATGAAGTTTGGATCTATATTTTCAATACTAGGCAACCTTTTTGATGGTAAGTTATCTGATGTGCCTTCGCAAGATTGCAAAAATTTAGACTCCCTCGTCCATCTTATAACCACGGAAGCTTTTGATAGACAAAAGCTAAACTTTAACTTTATACCCCTCGTCCATCTTATAACCACGGAAGCTTTTGATAGACAAAAGCGAAACTATAACTTTATGCTAAAAAACGCCTCTTTTGATATTGCAACGGATTTTCTATGCTCGGGTGGGTTCAACTACAAAAATGCGA